TGTTGGATGAAACACAGAGTAGCTCTGTCGTTCTAGCTGTGTTTAGAAATATATATATTTCAAAACACAGCTAGAACGACAGAGCTACTCCAAGAGCATGCCACAAGATAGGCGACGCCGTTTGTATGTTCGCGGCGATAGGGCACTCTAGGTTTCTGCTGCACCCCGAAACAACGAGAGTGTTTTTAGCGGGCGCCGGACTTGTTTCATGTGTGCTTAAGTCCACGTCATACCAGTGTCCTGCCCGTCTCCATCCACTTCATACCAGTGTCCTGCCCGTCTCCATCCACTTCATACCAGTGTCCTGCCTGTCTCCATCCACTTCATACCAGTGTCCTGCCTGTCTCCATCCACTTCATACCAGTGTCCTGCCCGTCTCTATCCACTTCATACCAGTGTCCTGCCTGTCTCCATCCACGTCATACCAGTGTCCTGCTGGTCTCTACCCACTTCATACTAGAGTCCTGCCGGTCTCCATCCACTTCATACCAGTGTCCTGCCTGTCTCCATCCACTTCATACCAGTGTCCTGCGCGTCTCTATCCACTTCATACCAGTGTCCTGCCCGTCTCTATCCACTTCAGACCAGTGTCCTGCCTGTCTCCATCCACGTCATACCAGTGTCCTGCCCGTTTCTATCCACTTCATACCAGTGTCCTGCCTGTCTCCATCCACTTCATACAGTGACCAGCCTGTCTCCATCCACTTCATACAGTGTCCTGCCTGTCTCCATCCACTTCATACCAGTGTCCAGCCTGTCTCCATCCACTTCATACCAGTGTCCTGCCTGTCTCCATCCACTTCATACCAGTGTCCTGCCCGTCTCTATCCACTTCATACCAGTGTCCTGCTTGTCTCCATCCACGTCATACCAGTGTCCTGCCGGTCTCCACCCACTTCATACTAGAGTCCTGCCGGTCTCCATCCACTTCATACCAGTGTCCTGCCGGTCTCCATCCACTTCATACCAGAGTCCTGCCTGTCTCCATCCACTTCATACCAGTGTCCTGCCGGTCTCCATCCACTTCATACCACCCACCTGTCTCCATCCACTTCATACCAGTGTCCTGCCGGTCTCCATCCACTTCATACCAGTGTCCTGCCTGTCTCCATCCACTTCATACCAGTGTCCTGCCTGTCTCTATCCACTTCATACCAGTGTCCTGCCCGTCTCTATCCACTTCATACCAGTGTCCTGCCTGTCTCCATCCACCACTTCATACCAGTGTCCTGCCCGTCTCTATCCACTTCATACCAGTGTCCTGCCTGTCTCCATACCACTGTCCTGCCTGTCTCCATCCACTTCCATACATCCTGACCAGCCTGTCTCCATCCACTTCATACAGTGTCCTGCCTGTCTCCATCCACTTCATACCAGTGTCCTGCCTGTCTCCATCCACTTCATACCAGTGTCCTGCCTGTCTCTATCCACTTCATACCAGTGTCCTGCCTGTCTCCTGTGTCCTTCATACCAGTGTCCTGCCTGTCTCCATCCACTTCATACCAGTGTCCTGCCTGTCTCCATCCACTTCATACCAGTGTCCTGCCCTGTCTCCATCCACTTCATACTTCAGTGTCCTGCCTGTCTCCATCCACTTCATACTTCATACCAGTGTCCTGCCTGTCTCCATCCACTTCATACCAGTGTCCTGCCTGTCTCCATCCACTTCATACCAGTGTCCTGCCTGTCTCCATCCACCTGCCATCCACTTCATACCAGTGTCCTGTGTCCATCCACTTCCTCCTGCCTGTCTCCATCCACTTCATACCAGTGTCCTGCCTGCTCTCCATCCACTTCATACCAGTGTCCTGCCTGTCTCTATCCACTTCATACTGTGTGTCCTGCCTGTCTCCATCCACTTCATACCAGTGTCCCTGCCTGTCTCCATCCACTTCATACCAGTGTCCTGCCTGTCTATCCACTTCATACCAGTGTCCTGCCTGTCTCCCATTCATCCACTTCATACCAGTGTCCTGTCCTGCCTGTCTCCATCCACTGTCCTGCCTGTCTCCATCCACTTCCATACCAGTGTCCACTGTCTCCATCCACTTCATACCAGTGTCCTGCCTGTCTCCATCCACTTGTACCAGTGTCCTGCCTGTCTCCATCCACTTCATACCAGTGTCCTGCCTGTCTCCATCCACTTCATACCAGTGTCCTGCCTGTCTCCATCCACTTCCAGTGTCCACTGTCTCCATCCACCAGTGTCCACCTGTCTCCATCCACTTCATACCAGTGTCCTGCCTGTCTCCATCCACTTCATACCAGTGTCCTGCCTGTCTCCATCCACTTCATACCAGTGTCCTGCCTGTCTCCATCCACTTCATACCAGTGTCCTGCCTGTCTCCATCCACTTCATACCAGTGTCCTGCCTGTCTCCATCCACTTCATACCAGTGTCCTGCCTGTCTCCTATCCACTTCATACCAGTGTCCTGCCTGTCTCCATCCACTTCATACCAGTGTCCTGCCTGTCTCTATCCACTTCATACCAGTGTCCTGCCTGTCTCCATCCACTTCATACCAGTGTCCTGCCTGTCTCCATCCACTTCATACCAGTGTCCTGCCTGTCTCCATCCACTTCATACCAGTGTCCTGCCTGTCTCCATCCACTTCATACCAGTGTCCTGTCTCCATCCACTTCATACCAGTGTCCCTGCCTGTCTCCATCCACTTCATACCAGTGTCCTGCCTGTCTCCATCCACTCCATATACCAGTGTCCTGCCTGTCTCCATCCACTTCCTCCAGTGTCCTGCCTGTCTCCATCCACTTCATACCAGTGTCCTGCCTGTCTCCTGCTCCACTTCATACCAGTGTCCTGCCTGTCTCCATCCACTTCATACCAGTGTCCTGCCTGTCTCCATCCACTTCATACCAGTGTCCTGCCTGTCTCCATCCACTTCATACCAGTGTCCTGCCTGTCTCCATCCACTTCATACCAGTGTCCTGCCTGTCTCCATCCACTTCATACCAGTGTCCTGCCTGTCTCCATCCACTTCATACCAGTGTCCTGCCTGTCTCCATCCCTTCATACCAGTGTCCTTCCTGTACCAGTCCACTCTACAGTGTCCTGCCTGTCTCTTCATGTCCACATCCACTTCCTACCATGTCCTGTGTCCTGTCCACTTCATACCAGTCCTGCCTGTCTCCACCACTTCATACCAGTGTCCTGCCTGTCTCCCCATCCACTTCATACCAGTGTGTCTCCATCCACGTCATACCAGTGTCCTGCCTGTCTCCATCCTTCATACCAGTGTCCTGCCTGTCTCTATCCACTTCATACCAGTGTCCTGCCTGTCTCCATCCTCTTCATACCAGTGTCCTGTCTCTGTCTCTATCCACTTCATACCAGTGTCCTGCCTGTCTCCATCCACTTCATACCAGTGTCCTGCCTGTCTCCCATCCACTTCATACCAGTGTCCTGCCTGTCTCCCATCCACTTCATACCAGTGTCCTGCTCCATCTCCATACCAGTGTCCACAGCCTGTCTCTCCCATCCACTTCATACCAGTGTCCTGCCTGTCTCCCCATCCACTTCATACCAGTGTCCTGCCTGTCTCCATCCACTTCATACCAGTGTCCTGCCTGTCTCCATCCACTTCATACCAGTGTCCTGCCTGTCTCCCATCCACTTCATACCAGTGTCCTGCCCTGTCTCCATCCACTTCATACCAGTGTCCAGCCTGTCTCCATCCACTTCATACCAGTGTCCTGCCTGTCTCCATCCACTTCATACTAGTGTCCTGCCTGTCTCCATCCACTTCATACAGTGTCCTGCTCTGTCTCCATCTGTCTCCATCCACTTCATACCAGTGTCCTGCCTGTCTCCATTCACGTCATACCAGTGTCCTGCCTGTCTCCATCCACTTCATACCAGTGTCCTGCCTGTCTCCATCCACTTCATACCAGTGTCCTGCCTGTCTCCATCCACTTCATACCAGAGTCCTGCCGGTCTCCATCCACTTCATACCAGTGTCCTGCCTGTCTCCATCCTCGTCATACCATTGTCCTGCCTGTCCATCCATCCATACTTCATACCTGTCTCCATGTCCTGCCTGTCTCCATCCACTTCATACAGTGTCATGCCTGTCTCCATCCACTTCATACCAGTGTCCTGCCTGTCTCCACCCACTTCATACAGTGTCCTGCCTGTCTCCATCCACTTCATACAGTGTCCAGCCTGTCTCCATCCACTTCATACCAGTTTCCTGCCTGTCTCCATCCACTTCAGACCAGTGTCCTGCCTGTCTCCGTCCACTTCATACAGTGTCCTGCCTGTCTCCATCCACTTCATACAGTGTCCTGCCTGTCTCCATCCACTTCATACCAGTGTCAATCCTTTTCCAATCTGTTTCACACGTGCTTCAAACGTGTCTCGTAAGCATTCCATACCAGTTGAAGTAATCATCATGTCTGGCTATATCTATACATCCACCTAATTTCCACAATAGATCGAAATATACATGGCGCCAGTTTAGGGAAGCTCCGGTTTACTACTCAAAACATTGCCATATCATAAAAAGGCTCTCACACTAAGTAAGGGTGAACACAAATTTTCCTTTCTCCACAAAAGGTTAAACCTGGACAAGGGAAGGACAATAAAGATATTCTTTACACAATTACAGCTAAGATGTTAAGCCTCTCTGGTCATAAAAATAACCCTGGTGTTGTATTTTGACTATTGAATCATAGCAAGGAGGGGTTTACACGCGAGAAGCGTCCACCTTAAGAAAACCTTAGAAAATTTAGTTTCGGTGTCGGTCTCATAAACTCCAGACTTCGCCAGTTTTCTTTTGTTGACTTTTCTTGCTCCGAGATTCCAACAATCGCCAAACAAAATTACGCTATCTAATATATTACCTCCGGGGCGGGGACGGAGAGGGATCGCTCACTTTTATCATTCCGTGTTCGTTTCAGATCGATGCAAATTTAGTAAATTCCATCTGTTGGTTCGTTTCATCGCGAGTTAAGTGTTTTGGTAAACCGGAACTCGTGAGCCGTATTCTGAAGATCGTGTTATAGACTGTGTGGTTGCTGTTGTGATCGTCAGTGATATGATTGATATATAACCAAACAAGGTATAATGATGGTGGTGAATGAAAGTATGTGTTGATTTTAATTTAGACCATAAAGAAAATCACAAAAACTTTATATGTTCTTTACCCAATATACCGGTTCTCAGAAAAAAATATTGCAATACGTATCGTTTGAAAAGCGTATTGCAATGTACCGGTAATACCGTGCAGTCCTACTGATGATGACGACGACGGTGGTGTTGGTGTTGATGATGATGACGACGACGACGGTGGTGGTTGTGGTGGTAGTGTGATGAAGATGATGATGACGATGGCGACGATGGCCTTAATATTTATGTGGGCGGTGGGGTAGTCTAGTGGTTAAAGCGTTGGCTCGTCACGCCGAAGACCCGGGTTCGAATCCCCACATGGGTACAATTTGTGAAGCCCATTTCTGGTGTCCCCCGCCGTGATGTTGCTTGAATAATGCTAAAAGCGGCGTAAAGCCAAACTCAGTCAGTCAGTCATATTTATGTCTTCTTGAATTATTATTTGACAAAACTGACAATCATAATAACAATAGAAATCCCCCGTTTTATCGTCTTGTGCATCAGCAGCAGCAACAACAATCACCAACACCATCATTACCCAATATGATCTTACAATCACACAATATATACATTTTCGTATTAAAACGCATTATTCGAAAAATTACAGTATTTCACGACCCCTTTAGCTTTAAAATTAAACAACATGACTATGATGAATGCCTGTCAAGAAACGATAGAAGTGTATGCTCTAAGGGACATTTCTACTCAATCCCAATCCCAATCACATATCTACCAAAAGGGCCCGTTAAACAACAGCTTCACACATCGCCGACATCAAAAGCGATTCCTACCTCCTTATCAAGCTACGGATATATACACCAAACAGCTCCATTCTCAAAGTAACGCATCTGTATTCAAACCATTAGAACCGACTATTATTTCCAAGGCCTGGGTATGATTGTCTTCAGTTTAAGAGCGAGAGTATCAGTTTATAACAATCAGCGCACCCACCACCTGGTATGGTAGTCGCATGGCTTTCAGAGAATATTAGGCTTTTATATCCCTGTCGTGCTGACGAGGCCTGTGTGAAACCTGACACTTTATCGGGTGTCTCATCTTCAGATAAAAAATCTGTTGAGCAAAAGGGATTTCGGTTTTTTATTCTGGAAAACCAGGTATTGTTGTCTCCTGGTCCCGAGTTTTGATTCCACTCCGAACGTCAGTCGCACTGTAAATACAAGTGACAAATACCCTTTTCTTATCCTTAGGAGGTGAGGTGAGGTGAAATTGGGTTTAACGACGTGCTTGAGAATATTTCGCTCATATGACGACGTGCATGCGTGTGTATGTGTATGTGCGCCTGCTTGTACTAGCCCAGACTGAAGCTGGTTTTATAGTGCTAGCCCACTGAGATACCATGCCGCAGTGAAGCATGAATACCCCACTCAGACACATTATACTGACTCCAAGCCGACCGGTCCTTGTTGTACCCATTAATGCCGAGCGCCAGGCAGGGACCAACAAGTACCATACTTTAACGTCTTTTGGTATGACGCGGTCGGGGATCGAACCCGCGACCTTCCGCTCTCCGGGCGGACGCTCTAACCACTACACCACGGAGGCGGTCTCTTATCCTTAGGAACTCTCAGCTAAAAACACTTTTGATTGTAGTATTCCGACATGTGTCTATGAATCATCGTGATTGATGATCTTACGTACTGGCCAAAAGGTGCCAACCAGTAGCTCCGGTCACAAACACATGCAACGGCACCTCAACACTGGAACACGAGCTAGAAAGTCAAATTGGAGATTGCGTCAGCTCCTGAACAGGGGGAGGTTGCCGGTTGTGGTTCTGAATTTAAAATAGATAATGATTGAAAAATCTTAAAAAATATGGCACCAGTTTGAAATGTTCGTGATCAGAAACCTTTCAGTTGGCTGCAATTGTGTCACGCCAGTCTTAAATAACTTTCCTCTTAAACGTCATGTGAAGACCCAAATGTGCCAAGTTAATCCTACGACAAAAGAAAGTTGAGTATGGACTTGATACATGAATATATAAATGAAATTATGCTGATTACAAATTTCTGAAGTTATGATAATTGTGGTGTTTAACTTGATGGCAATGATTTATTGTTCCTGTCCATTTTTGATCATTTAGCGACATCTTTCAAATTTATCATACACTAGGTAGTACGGAGTTAAAGTTGATCTCAAGCGGCTTTTACGAATCTCAGCTAAGTTGTTTAATGGCCTATAAGTTTTCTAACGTCTGACCAGTTGTAAGAGTCGACGAAAATATGTATCTAATACATCGACTCTTGCTCAGGAATCGTAAATCCCTGATTACACTCTCTCCTTTACTGCTCTGTCGTTTAACGCTGTTGCGAATTCCAGTCAAAACCCCAGTCTAGCCTTCTTACTCAGCAGATTCCGTCTTTCCGTCCGAAACACGTGGTCATTATTTACGACGTTTCCGCGATGACCACTGGCATCAACGATAAATCCCCAGCCAGTGATAATCCTTTTTGTACGAGTCTAGACAACATATAATTTGACTGTATTGTAGCAATTTGACGAATAATTTCACCTATAAAAACAAAAAAGACACACAAAAGACCAACCCTTTGCCTTGTGTGTTTAACTGACGTTATCCGGAAACGTCAAAATGGTGAATTAATGTACGTTTTATTGACGCTGTCTCTTCACAAACCGTCTGATCACGTATTTTCTCGCACGGCAATATTTACATCACGAGATTTCAACCCCGTGATACACCTTTGATAACCTTTTGAAGTAGGAACCCCTCGGCTGCAAAACAGTTTTCTGCTCACCTAGCGGAAACGATGACGGAGATACTATCTTCGTAATGACTGTTTAAAGAGTAGAGTAATCGCCGCGAGCTGGGATTTCACCGAGGGATTAATATGAGAGTATGAAAAGAGTTCTGCGATGAGGACTGTAATCTTTGATATGAAGATTACAGATTAGCTACTACAAAAGATGTAATGACGTGGGGACAATCTGTGTGTTCTATTGTATCTCATACTCAGATTGCTTCCTACAGATTTGCCTCCGATATGAAAGCAGGGATCTGTATCTGACGAGCTGTGATTAAAGCCACAGGGTAAGATTCAAAAGAAGGAACCAGGTTGTATTTTCTGAAATAAATTCATCCGGGTTTTTCCGATCCTCTTCATATGGATGTGTGAATTTCTGCGTTTTTAGTGTGATGACTTGCCGCTGCTATGAATATATTTGAGAGTCATGAGCTAATTTTTTTATTCGTACGCAGCTATGAATATCTTAGTATCAGTTGCATTTTGATGAAAGAAGAGGAATAACAATGATTATGTTTCTGTTTTGTATAATCAGGAACAAAATATGGGTATCTTATGAAACGGCCGTATTTCGTTGTTTCATGTACGAGAGGGATATATTTTCTCTTTAAGTAACGCCGTCCCGTGACAAGATGAACCCAAACAACAACAACAACCACCAACAACAACAACGTCCGACGACGATGATGACCTAGCCCAAATAAACTCCTTTCTCACTCTACTTCGGTTAATGTTTTAATTTTGAATGTACCAATGGAAATACTGCGATCCTAGTTTTCAATCGCGAAACAGAAAGTACTGTGTATTGGCTGCCCGAGCATGCGCAAAGAGAAAGGACCACTGTTCGGTGCCTGTACAATCCCAACACCTTCCATTGTCAATCTTGTCATTTGAACCAATACTTCTACGATCGCCAGTTCCACGCTCCCGTACCATTCCTCGCTGTACTCAGTATCCGTTTGACATTTTGTTCTCAAAGTGTTTGTAATGTCAACATTTTTCATGTGCAACGGTAGTCACAGTGAAAAAGGTTTACCAGGCAAAAAATGACTCCTTCAACATGGATGACTAGGATCTAGTTCTAGAAAAAGATGGGAAACCGGAGCTGGAATAAGCTGAAAGATATCATGTTTGCGTTATTTCAAGTTTTTCAAGGTGTGAAGGTACGAGGAAATAACGGTTATTTTTTCCTGCATTTGTAAAAAATGAGGAAAAGAATATTTCATTCGAATAATAAACATCCCATTTTATATAAGCGTCCATATTTTATTGATTCCGTGGGTTACAACAACACCGAGGGAATCGTTCGTATTAAAACATTTTCTTGTCAATGAATAAAGGGAAAGGAATGGTTCTGTTTGCACGCCTTCATGTCGTCAGGGTTTCGTTTAAACAACATGAACGGGTTTTAATTCCTTGGGGCAAAATAACTTGATACGCTGCAATATAATCTGCTGCAGATGTTGTGAGACGTATTCTCCATATAATGTACATCTTCCCTATTTCAACGTTGTAAAGATTCCAGTACCATAGCTTGTTTTTTTACCATAGCATTTTTCTTCATTTGGAGTATCCAGTATTCTCGCTATACTTTCCCTTTTACCCGCTTTAGCTTCCCATCTCCATTCCAGGGGCGGTGGGGTAGCCTAGTGGATAAAGCGTTCGTTTGTCACGCCGAAGATCCGGGTTCGATTCCCCACATGGGTACAATGTGTGAAGCCCATTTCTGGTGTCCCCCGTCGTGATGTTGCTGGAACATTGCTTAAAAGGCGTAAAACCATACTCACTCACCCATTTCCATTCCCTTTTTTTAGTTTCCGTACTGTCGCATTAGTTCACGTATACTTGTACTTGTATATTCAGTTCAATCGCTATATTTCCGGTTAGTTCCTGATTCTCATTCTCTCGTTCTCTTGCTATAGTTTCTCGTTCTCTTGCTATAGTTTCTCATTCTCTTGCTATAGTTTCTCATTAGTTTCTCATTCTCTTGCTATAGTTTCTCATTCCCTTGCTATAGTTTCTCATTCCCTTGCTATAGTTTCTCATTCCCTTGCTATAGTTTCTCATTCTCTTGCTATAGTTTCTCATTCCTCTTGCTATAGTTTCTCATTCCCTTGCTATAGTTTCTCATTCCCTTGCTATAGTTTCTCATTCCCTTGCTATAGTTTCTCATTTTCTCATTCTCTAGCTATAGTTCATTCCTCATTCCCTTGCTATAGTTTCTCATTCCCCTCATTCTCATTCCCTTGCTATAGTTTCTCATTCTCTTGCTATAGTCTTTGCTATAGTTTCTCATTCCCTTGCTACTATAGTTTCTCATTCTCTTGCTATAGTTTCTCATTCTCTTGCTATATTCTCTTGCTATAGTTTCTCATTCCCTTGCTATAGTTTCTCATCTCATTTCCTTTGCTATAGTTTCCCATTCCCTTGCTATAGTTTCTTCCCTTGCTATAGTTTCCATTCCCTTGCTATAGTTTCTCATTCCCTTGCTATAGTTTCTCATTCCCTTGCTATAGTAGTTCTCATTTTGCTATAGTTTCTCATTGCTATAGTTTCCCATTTCTTTTGCTGTAGTTTCCCATTCTTTTGCTATAGTTTCTCATTCCCTTGCTATAGTTTCTCATTCTCTTGCTATAGTATCTCATTTCCTTTGCTGTAGTTTCCCATTCTTTTCCTATAGTTTCTCATTCTCTTGCTATCATCTCATTCTCTTGCTATAGTTTCTCATTCTCTTGCTGTAGTTTCTCATTCTCTTGCTATAGTATCTCATTTCCTTTCCTGTTGTTTCCCATTCTTTTGCTATAGTTTCTCATTCTCTTGCTATCATCTCATTCTCTTGCTATTGTTTCTCATTCTCTTGCTGTAGTTTCTCATTCTCTTGCTATAGTTTCTCATTCTCTTGCTGTAGTTTCATTCCCTTGCTATAGTTTCTCATTCTCCCTTGCTTGTTTCTCATTCTAGCTTAGTTTCTCATTCCCTCGTGCTATAGTTTCTCATTTCGTAGCTCATTCTCTTGTAGTTTCTCATTCCCTCACTCATTTCCTTGCTAGAGTTTCTCATTCTCTTGTAATAGTTTCTCATTTTCTTGCTGTAGTTTCTCATTTCGTAGCTGTAGTTTTTCGTTCTCTTGCTGTAGTTTCTTGTTCTCTTGTAATACATGTTGTTTCTTATCCTCTTGTAATAGTTTCTCATTTCCTTGCTGTTGTTTTTCATTCTCTTGCTGTAGTTTCTCATTCTCCTGTGATAGTTTCCTATTCTCTTTCTGTAGTTTCTAATTCTATCGCTATAGTTTCCCTTTCTGGGCAATGAGCTTCAAGGTAGTTGATTAAGTCGGATTGGTTGATTTCATCAACCAAATTGTTTAAACTGGCGGTCAGAAGAAAGTACTCAACCATACTTGATGGCGGCTAAAGCAAAACAAACACGAAATGAGCATTCAGTGGTGATACATTAGACACGGGTACCATATGTGATATTAGTATCGCACCACAGGTGACGTCCACAGGAGTGCCTGAATATGGTTTTACGCCGCTTTTAGCAATATTCAATGCAAAATCACGGCGGGGGATACCAAATATGGGCTTCGCAGAATGCACCCCTGTAGGAAATAGAACCCTGATCTTCGGCGTGACGAGCGGACGCCAGAACCACTAGACTACTCCACAGCGCACGCGAGGTCTTAAGGTCGTGTACACAGTCATGGCCAGAGTGAAGCAGGGTGTTCATGCATATACCGTCTTTTCCCTACATTCACTTCTTTGACTATCAATGCTCATGCTGTTGATCACTGGATTGTCTGGTCCAGACTCGATTATTTACAGACTGGACTTATTTATAGCTGGAATATTGCTGAGTGCGGCGTGAAACTGAACTCACTCACTCACTCCTTGACTATTAAACAAGATTCTCTCACGCTTGGTGTATTTGTGGTAGTGAGTGAATCAGTGAGTTTACTTTTTCGCCGCTTTTAGCAATATTCGAGCGATATCACGTGGGTAACACCCAAAATGGACTCTACACATTGTACCCATGTAAGGAATGGAACCGGATCTTTGGCGCTTTAATCACTGGGCTAACCCACCGCCCCTTTGAGTGGTAGATGTGTTTACGTAGCGCATCTATATAATTGAGAAAGATTTGTGTTTTCATAAATCGCTGACTGACTGACTGACTGAGTGAGTTTGGTTTGACGCCGCTTTTAGCAATATTACAGCAGCATCACGGCGGGGGACACCACAAATGGGCTTCACACAATGTACCCATGTGGGGATTCGAACCCGGGTCTTCGGCGTGACGAGCCAACGCTTTAACCACGAGGCTACCCCATCGCCCCTTTTCATAAATCAGATACTGCCGATGAGACATAGGAATTTTCTATTCTGGGAAGGTCGTGGACTGTTGTTATTTGCTTAAAATGTTCCAAGATACGGTTGCACTCTGTAGAAGGTCAAAATGAATACAATGTAACGTCGGTAACCATTCGACAGGCTTGAAACATTTCATTATCATTAGTACATAAGATAGAACAATTTTATTATCGTCATCTAACATATATATAGATAAAAGCTACAACTCACAAAGGATCTGGTATAATGTCATCATAATGAAGATTATTTCAACAAGAGACGGACTATAATGCAACAGTAAAACGGGATCCTTGATTCTGTTAACTTTGGAGCATTTTCCTTTAATTGGACAGTAGACTGCCGTTATTTTAGCATAACGGTAGTTGTGGCATTTTAATGATGACTTGGATAATTAGTCTAGGTTAATAAATTTATTGTAATCCAAGTTGAGAATGGTGTGGGTCGTGTCATATTATTTTTCTGTACGTTATTAAACTTCGTGAAAGTAGTTTTTTAAGACATTCAGAGAAATGTTAGGACATTGAACGAAGCTGATCTTATTACAAGGTATGGGTATTATTGTACAGCTAGGGTTACTGGGCACTACTTTCCATAGTCTGGTGCATAAAGAATTTCTGGTATATTCCTGGAAAATACCATAGAGTCAGAGTTCTTATAAAACACCATAGAGTCAGTTCATATAATACTACAAAGACGAACAAAAATCAGTTACCTCCAAAAACAGCAAAATCGCGAAATGATATGAACGGTTCAGGGATGACACCGGGTGTCCGCGAGAATGGTAAACACATCCTGCTGTACAGGGTGTCTTGTCTCGAACGAAACAGTTTAGTAAATGACCGAATATACTGATGTCACTTAACCAATGACGTAAATGGGTGCACGGGCACTGAGTACATCGGCCGAGTTCAGATAAATACGTAAGGTCAGTTGGATTAATTAGCGTCTATGCTTCTAACGAGTGGGCGGTGGGGAAGCCCATTGGTTAAAGCGTTCGCCCGGGTTCGATTCCCCACATGGGTACAATGTGTGAAGCCCATTTCTGTGATATCGCCGTGATATTGCTGGAACATTGCTAAAAGCGGCGTAAAACTAAACTTACTCACTCTAGTGAGCGTAAACGGCAAAATAGTAACCAGACTTCAGGCTTGAAATAATCTTTCATATAGACGTATTTATTTTTTAAAATGTAAAATTCAATTAATATGAAAATTTACAATTCGGAGATTTAATTTTTTTCTACATCTCGAGTAAAATATCAGACGTGTTTAATGCAGTGTTACGGTTATCATGATAATTATAGATA